GTTTGTTTTCAGAGAACCCAAAGTGAGATTTAAATGCAAGCTGGGGATATGGTGGTCAGACTGAAACAAAGCACCCTCCTCCTCAGCCCGTGCTGAGCGGGTAGCTTGTTGATGCACTCCCCCCACCCCCACCCCACCATCTTGTCACACACACACCCCTACTTGAAGTGTCTTCAAATTAGTCTCTGCTCCTTGCAACCCTGAGCTTAGCACAGCATCCATAAAGGCCGCCTGCCGTCATTGTTCGATCATGTACTGAGCTTAAAGGCCCACTTCAGTTTACATCAGGGCCTTTTAATTCCTCACAGCCTTCTGTCTAAAGAAGTGTTCACTGGACTTGCTCCCCTGTGTAAGAGGCTTTTAGGCCAGGCCTGGGACCACCCATTGGTTTGCTAAATCTGTCCCCGTAACCCCCACAACCATGCACAGTAGCATGAGCTCAGTCTGAGCGGTAACCAAGCCTCAGAGTGTGGATTTGGGCCCTTGACTCTGGCAGGCCTGGCAGGCGTGTGTAGACAGGTTTCCAGGGCTGAGGGATGACTGGAGCCAAGCCACCTGGGCTTTCCCACACTGCAGTTCCCAGTGCTGAGCCGCAGCGGCTCTGGGCAGCCTCCGTGGCGGACAGCGTCATTGTCTTTTTGCATGTCTTTTGCGTCTGGCTTCTTACATTCAATATTATGTCTATGAGATTCATCCATCTTGTTGCATATTTCAGAGGTTTGTTTAATTGTTGTGAAGTATTCCCTTGAATGAATATGCCAAAATGTATCCATACTACTGTTAATGAACATGTCAGCTGGGATATTGAGCATCTGACCTCTCATCCGTTGCTGGTGGGAACATAAATACTGCAGCCACTGAGGAAAATTGTCGTCTATCATTGTTATAACTATGTGCCGGGCACTGTACTGAGAGATTCACCTGCATTATCTCACTTCATCACCCAGTGACCCTAGGAAACAGATAGTTGCCATCTGTTCAAGGGGACAATCATAGTACCAACATCATAGGGCCATTGTGAAGTTTCACTGGGGTTATGCTTTCATGGATTTAGACCAATGCTGCCATTTTGGGAAGTGCTGTTTATGATACCTGTTATGAGTAGGAATCAACTCGACGGCACACAGTGACAACAATTGTTATTATTAAAGAGCACAGGGATCGGGAGCCTGGGTTCCCGGCCTACCTAAGCCACCCTGCACAAGTCATCTCAGCTGCCTTGGCCTCAGAGATCCTGGGAACTCATGAATCCACTGACTAGGACCTCTGGGGAAGAAGCAAGTCGTGGTCTTCAATAAGATCCAGACTCTAACTTCAAGGAGCCAGTCACTAGTGCTGCTGTAACAGAAATACCACAAGTGGATGGCTTTAACAAAGAGGAATTTATTTCCTGACAGTTAAGTAGGCTAAAGGTCCTAATTCGAGGGGGGGGGGGGCGGTGTCAGCTCCAGGAGAAGGCTTTCTCTCTCTGTCAGCTCTGGAGGAAGGTCCTTCTCATCAATCTTCCCCTGTTCGAGGAGCTTCTCAGGCACAGGGACCTCGGGTCCAAAGGACGCTCTCTGCTCCCGGCACTGCTTTCTTGGTGGTATGAGGTCCCAACCCTCTGTTTGCTTCCCTTTCCTTTTATCTCTTGTAAGATAAAAGGTGGTGCAGGTCACACCCCAGGGAAACTCCCTTTACGTTTGATCAGGGATGTGACCTTAGTAAGGGTGTTACAATCCCATCCTAACCCTCTTTAACATAAAATTATAATCACAAAATGGAGGACAACCACACAATACTAGGAATCGTGGCCCAGCCAAATTGATACACACATTTGCGGGGAGGGGGACATAATTCAATCCATGACAGGGGGCAATACTAAGACTGAACCAGGAAGGACCTGAAAGTGTTCAGGAGCCCTCTGTTACATGCTCTTTCTAGAAGCTGAGTACAGAAAGTACTTGCTAGGGACAGTTGTTCAGTATCTGCCTCTCCCACTAGCATGGACACTCTACAAAGGCTTGGGCAGGGTATGTTTCATTCATTCATTCACAAATATGATTTAAGTGTCTCCCTTCCCCTAGACACTATGCCAAAAGCTGAGGGATACAGCTGTGATCAAGACAGACAAGATAGCAAGAGTGACACTGACCAAGGAAACAAAGAAGTAGCCGCTGGGAAGGACCACAGCAGGGCAGTGAGATGAAGGGAACTCCTGGGGAGAGAGGAGTGCTTTACATTAAGTGGTTACTGAAGACCTCCGAAGGAGCCCTGGAGGCACAGTGGTGAAAGCACTCAACTGCTAACCAAAAAGTCGGTTGTTCCAACACAGTGGAATACTACGCAACGATAAAGAACAATGATGAAGCCGTGAAACATCTTATAACATGGAGGAATCTGGAGAGTATTATGATGAGTGAGTTTAGTCAGTTACAGAAGGACAAATATTGTGTAAGACCACTATTACAGGAACTCAAGAAAAGGTTTAAACACAGAAGAAAACATTCTTTGATGGTTACAAGGGTGGGGAGGGAGGGTGAGGGTTATTTACTAACTAGACAGCTAGTTGATAAGAACTATCTTAGGTGAAGGGAAGGACAGCACACACTACAGGGGAAGTCAGCACAACTGGACTAAACCAAAGCTAAGAAGTTCCCTGAATACAATCAAACACTTTAAGGGACAGAGTAGCAGGGACGGGAGTCTGGGGACCATGCTTTCAGGGGACATCTAGGTCAA